GGATCCCCATCATCGCGGGGATCTGGATGACTGCTGTCTGGGAGCGGAAGGCAGGGCTCTCCCGGCGCTGCAGCACGGTTCAGTAACTCCAGGCTTCCCTGCAAACCCTTGTTGCCCTTGGTCAGAGCAGGGAAGGGAGTGGGGGAGGCTCCGTGGCAGTGGGAACCCATGTGGGAACAGGGTCACAGGCAAGTGTGGGGCCCTGGGACCACTTCTGGTGAGGGGAGAGAGAGTCACAGGGCTCGGGGCCAGTGCTCCCCCCTCCTGTGGTTCGGGCTTTTTATGGCCCTTTTATATAGCCCAGAGCAGGTTTCTGGATCTCCCCGGCGTTGTTTCCAGTTCATCCCTGTGCTTCCTTCAGTCCCCAGTGGCTGAGGAGCCACCCTCCAGGCAGAGGTCTGTCCCTGATGGTCGTCTGTCCTTCCTCCAGCTGAGCCCTGTGGAGCCGCAGCTGCCTTCCACGAGGGAGCAGGGCCAGAGCATCAACCCGCAGCACAGGCTCACGTGCCTGCAGTATGAGCTGTAGGGGTGAGTGGGAGCCCACACCTCATCTCCTGGAGGCTGGGGGTGCCCAGGTCTGGGGAGCTACAGCAAGATTTTAAACCACTGACAGCAGGTGACAGGGTCTGCCATTCCTTACCCGAGCCCTGTTTCACCCCACCTGAGCAGGAGGCCCTCAATCCCCCACGCTGACCACCATGCTGGCCAGGGCTGCACGTCCATGTCAGCCTTCCCCTCTTCCACCACGCAGAGAGGACAAGCTGGCTGGCATCCCGGAGAGGAGCTGAAAGCGACAGGACTCCCTGCTGCTGAAGCAGGGCTCCTGGGGGCTTCACCCCAACACAGGGGTCTGGGCTCGTCCGGGAGGATGTTGAGTCCAAGCCAGGCAGGAGAGACGACCACTCCAGGGCCCATTGTGGGGAAAAGAGCACAGAGAGCCGCAGGCCGCTGCTTTCCCAGGGGTGGTGGGGCATGGCTCCTTGCTGGTGGGGTCGCTGTATGCCCTAGGAGCATCACTTCGTCACGAACGAAGTCCCTGCTGTGGCCCCAGCGAGCACAGTTCCTCAGGCAGCGCTCAGCAGGGATTCTGGAGGAGGCCACGGGGGTCACGCAGGAGCTGAACTGTGTGGGGGAGTGATACTGTGGAAGATAAGGCTTGTCAGGGTGGGTGGATGGGGCAGTCCCCCCAGGGGCTTGGTGCTGGTGAGGGAGCCCTGCCCTCCTTGGTGTGGTGCTGGCTCACCCCACAGCACGACCCTGGCATCCTGCTCCCACCACTGACAGAGCTCTGGCGCAGGGAGGGAGCGTGACGTGACCCCCCAGCTCCCCACCGCCTTTGACACCTGCCCTTCACAGACCTCCGGGTGCCACCATCGAGAGGTGGGTGCTGCAAAATGCTGCCCTCTGCCCTTTCCCATGTGCCGGGCCTTTCCCCTTTCCCCTTTCCCCTCTCCCCTTCCTTCTTCCTCCTTTCCCCTTCCCCTTTTCCCATCCTCCTCCCTTTTCCTCTTCTTCCTCCTTCCCCTTTTCCCTTTCTCCTTTTCCCTCTCCTTTCCCCTTCATTCTTCTTCTTCCCCTTCCCCTTTTCCTCCCCCTTTCCCCCTTCCCCTTCCTTCTTCACCCTTCCCCTTTCTTCTTTCCCCTTCTCCCTTCCTCTTCCTCCTTCCCCTTCCCCTTCCCCCTCCTCTCTCCC